ACTTTGGACTGATTAATGTTTTTTATAGATACATATTATTAGACTGCGTGCAGACTTAAATAAAATTCTGTGTAAATGAAAAAAAAAAAGATTCTGCACTACTTTTGTATTTAGGGAGTGCTAAAACTTCTAGTGGGCCATTGATGAATCCTAAAGTGAGGATATTCTTTAAATAATTGTTATGCATATGGCATTGTAATATTTTTTACCTTTTTAAAAGAGATTAAAATAGGAAAAACTTCATGGCCATTTTGTGACATCAAAGGTAGTACAAGGAGAAAAGTAGTGCACAAAAGTGTCTTCCCCTTTCCCCCTGTGTCAAAGCTTATGACAACAGATCACTTACCTAATTCTAGTGCCTGGTAGACCTTTTGTGGGTCATGGACCAAATCGCAGAGCGCCATCAATGCCCGCTGCTGAGTCAGCAGCTCAGGAGACTGTAACTCCTCATTCAGTTTAGGAAGGGCCCTCCTTCCAAAAGCAATAGGAGCTTTTGTAGGATCTATATTAGGGGGGAGGTTGGCTGATATACGAGCATGTGCCATCCTGAATTTTCCTGGGAAGGATTCTCCCTCTCCCTAAAACTACTCCAAAACGACTGTACGTGATGACTGGACAGATAATGTACCAAAAGGACTACTACTGACTTTTTATGGTGTTCTGTGTCCCAGAAGAGCTACTTTAGCACATGTTCATTGTTAGGAAGCTATGAAAGAGGCAGAAATGGTTTGTGGTCCTCAGCATTAATGTCTGTTCGTCAGCTGAATTGTCTTCTCTGGTTTAATTCTCTGCACTGTAAAAAAAATAATAAAGAGGGGAGGGGGAAGAGAGAGAGAAAGCAAGCTTAATATTGCAAGGTGAGAGAGGGAATGTTTTTCAAAGCATCAAAGTGAAGTAGTTCAATGTCCTGAACCAGACAAGGGAATCAAAAAATAAAGCAAAAGCAAGCAAAAGTCAGGTTTGTTTTTTTTTTTAAAAACCCATTCTTTTAAACCCGCCCTCAGAATCCGTTAACTTTTGACAGAATCGGTAACGGCTGACCTCCCCCTTCTGTCAGTAAGGAAAACGGCGCAGCTGACAGAAACACAACCGCCAGCGCGGCGAACTGCTCTGCCAAAACAACGAAGAGAAACCCAGCTGCCAAGTTCAAACAACTGCTGAACAACTGCACTTCTCTCTCCAAAACAAAATAGACTAAATAATCAAAGGCGCCCTGTCCCACCAACATGTCACCGCCTCAGCCCGTCCCGCTTCCCGCGCAGCAGCTCCTGCCCGCTGCGCTTCCGCGCCCGCGTGCTCTAGTTACCACAGCAACAGGCTCTAGTTACCGCAACACCCCGCTCCGTGAATAAGAATAACGCAGCCAAGCATACAGAGTCTTATCCTACGTCAACAGCGGAGATACCGCGTGTGACGGTAGCTCCTGTGAGAGAGCAGCGTCAGCGGCGTAGTTGGTGAATTGGAAGCCGGGGCCGCTGCTGGCGCGGGACGGGGAGCGCTGCGCGTGGAGGAACTGAGGCGCGGGACGGGGCTGAGGCGCGGCCCCTTAGGGGAGAGGGCGGGTGAGGAAGAGAGGGAACGTCGGGGCGGGGGTTGCAGTATGGAGGCCGTTTTACGTCCTCGATCTGCTTTTAGCAGAGGGAGGCTCTCTTCTCACCCGCCGTTTTAAAAGTAATCTCAGTTGAACACAACTGGAAAAAAATCAGATTGAACAAAATGGTGGTCGGGCTAATGCAGAGGTGTAGCAGGTGAGAGTGCCTTAAGGTGCAAGGGTTGAAGGGAGCTCAGTAGCTTTCCACTAAGGAGCTAGAATGTGTAGCAGGGGGTTCCATTATCATGAGGTAGTTTCATGTAACTGTCTTCATGATTTGGCCATCTTTTTCAGTATCATTCTGCTAAAAAGTATAGTCTGAGGATGGTACACAGGGAGAACATACTGTAATGCTGTCATTACACCTTAAGGGTGCCTTGGATGGTCAGATGTGATCGGGCATGAGGGAAAAACCAACTCTGAACAGCTATAAAAGGTCAGTTCTCAGCATAAATAAGCAAATTATTGAGATGTTTTCCATTATGTTTGAGTAACAATTATAATCAAGTTCTTAAACTGGATTTTACAAAGCCAAAGTCGTTCAGATCAGTTGGATTAAAATGCAGCACAGGAATAGATTATGGTTTGTTGATCTTCAAAATCCATAAAAGAAAAACTATTAGTTTAAAAAGTATTTTGTGGAGAGGATTCATTTTTTCTACAACATTTTAGAGGAGATTATTTAAAGTAGAGGTTATTTTCCTGAATTAGGTTAGACTTTCACTAGCTATATGTTTGTAAAGTTTCACCCTATTTCAATAGGAGGAACATGAACATTTCTCAGTACAGAAGGGGCAGAAGGTCAGGGACCTCTCTTGTCCTTCAGTGTTAACTCTGCTCTCATCCTTTTGGCATGAGTTGTTCTGTCTTGTTCTTCACCATAGCTTGGAATACTGATTTTGGTTAGTGGTCACGATGTTAACTTATTTTATGTACAGCTACTGGATGCCTTCCTCAAATTCTTTGGCTAACTACAGAATCTGCTGGTGCTCCTGTTCCTGCAAAATTGATATCAGGAGCGTTGTGATGCCATGGAGACACTGTATTCCAGTCCCTCCTGGTGACTGAACCTCCTTCAGCTTTGTAAGAAGAGAAAATCTGGATCTCAGTACTGATAATACTCAGTATCTTTAGCAGCTTTGTATTTCTAAAATAACTGATCCCTTGAAATGATTGATTTCCCTCTAATGGTGTGCCCGATTTGGGATATGTTTATGTGTTAAATACACTAAATGTAAGTGAAGATGTTTCTGTTTGGTTGCCTTGGTCCCACCTATACTTTGGATTCACTAAGATCGTTCAATTGATTTTATTTACTTTTCTTTTGTAGCTTAGTTTGTGACAGAACTCTAGGAGACAGGAAGTGAGTCAACCTATGGATACATGACACGTTTATATGTGTCTAGGATGTGTTGAACTAGGAGAATATGGAGAAAGCAGCTTAGTGTTTGAAACTCTTACCAAGTGGTAGAGTTTTTGTTTTCAGAACTATTATTTTAAGACACTGCCGTAAAATCATTCAAATTTGCCAAAGGGCAGGAGCCACAGCATAAAAAGGGCCTAGATCTCACTAGTTTTATACAATCACAAGTAGCATGATAAGCAGAACTATGCATATGGTGATAAATAAATACTGTGATGTCACCTTCTTTGGTGAATAATCCATTAGCTGCAAATCTGGATTCCTTGGGGAGAATAGGGTGTTTCAGTATGGTTGAGATCACATGGGTGTCTGAAGTGATTTAAAAGCAATTCCTCATAAAAGAGAATAAAACTTCAATTCTAAGTAGTTGACTGGCAGTTTTGTTGAAATTATTCTTAGTGGTGTTGTAAAACACAGCTGTAGGGGTTTTGTTATATACTTATCATTGTTTAAAATTACTTGGCCATGTTGATTTCCCTTTTAACTTTTTTAGTCTTTTGCATGAATGAGAGAGGCTTATCTCTTGAATATTATGAGGTCCAAGACTGTTCCAGCATTATCAAATATTAGAATGTGAGAGCTTTCTTTTGTCTTGAAATTTGGAAATTTAAATAATAGTAAATAAATAGGAAAATCTTTTGGCATCTTAAATTACAGTCTAGCATACTAAGTGCTGTCTAAACTAATGAGTTGGTTAACAATACTTAGCCAATACAAAAGAGCTGTGTGATTTCTTATTCCTTGTCTTTAGTGTTTGGTACATTAGAAAGCAAGATTACTATTGACTAGAAGGACATCTATACAGTTCAGAATGTCTCATTAGTGGCACGAGTCTCCTGATGCTAAAGCTAAGATGAAACAAAGTTGAAATTCTGAAACTCCCTCAGGAGTTGCTTTATAATTGCTACTATGCTTAATATTAGCACTGTAACAGTTCCCCACTCCATTAGTTCCTTGTCTGTTGAGTTAATCCTGCTCTTTCTATCCATATATACAATTATCTTTGAAGAAAACAGAACTATTGTCTTACACAGAATTCAGGTACCACTGGATTTATTAAGAAGCAGTTTCTGATCACAGGAATCTATACGGCCACTAAAACCAGTATGTCCTTTTAAAACTAGGGCCTTACATATAGTTAAATTACTCCAACCCCACCTTCCCAATCTGTAAAAGAAGGGAAGGAAGGGAACTGTTGAGAGCCTGTTGCTATGGCCACAGCAGCAGGCTGAGCTGTTTGTGTGGCTGGAATCCTGCTGCATCAGCTGCTGCACGGTGAGTCCTTCCTTATACTTGGCCACATGATGAATGTTCTTAGAAACATTCTTTCGAATGCCAGCAAGAAATTGGTATGCTATTAAGGGTCCCCTCCCCCAACAACCCACGAGGTATCATTGCATAACCAAATTGATACATCTCAAGTGAGTTATCTAAATGCATTTGTGATTTTCATATGAACATTATTCTTTTTCCAAGTTAGCCTATCTACTGATTCCATTCTTTCTGAGCTGATCTTGGATGAAAGTTCGATGCTGTGCCAAGAAAAGTGACAGCTTCATCTTTCCTCCCTTCTTCTGACCAAACGAAATCTGGTATCCCTAACATTTATTAATGTCCTTTGTGCAGGTGTATTTCAAATGATGATGAGCAAGATTTTTAAATTAAACTCTGCAAAATCCTTTGAAGGCTAAACTGCAAGCACTTACGTTGAATTAATTATCTGCTCTCCCACGGAATTACAGTTCATGCCTTGTAGTTTCAGAAAGCCACTGTTTGTTACTACAGCTATGCGCCCTGAAGTGGTCCCTTTTACATAAGAAACAGGTTTTATTTAACACAAACCAGTTGTACTGCAGTGAGAAAAGATTATAAGCCTGTAAGAACTGTTATTTTTCAATCAAGTCTTCCCTGTATTGAAGCAATTCCTGAAAACTATGTTTCTCTTTATGTATTTCCTGTCTAGTAGAGTTGACTTGAATTTGGAGGATGAAGTCCAACCGAATGCATTTAGTCCCCCCAGTAAGCAGGGACAGAATACTCTCCTGATTTCCCAAGGTTAAGTATTCTTTATCCCTCTGGTCACAGTATGTAGTACCTGCCACATTGTTTCCCTCCTGCTAATAGTATTTTAATTTAATGTACAGTTGTCATCTGCTAAAATTAGGAATTGTTATAAGGATTTCTTTTAAAGATGAATGTGGCCTCATGTTGCCATTCAGTGCTGATATATTAATGATAAAGTGTTATCTTATAATACCTATCTTATTATTTCAGCCAAACATTGAGTCCATGCTTAAAGAGTTCCTATGCTGAGGGGAAATAAGAACCATAGCTGGTATGAAATATGCAAAGAATCTAATTAGATCCATATGGAGGTTTTGGTTGAAGAATTGAGGCAATTTTAATCTTCTCTTTGCATAGGAACCTTAGTCATACAGTAGATCAAACAATCCTTGTAAGGGAGTCAGCAATTTTTTTCCATGCCTGGTGTTAGCCACATATTTTGCTTTTAATTTCAGGAAAACTATCATAGTTATTTTAAGCAAATATAAAATAAGTTTTCCTCATTTTTAACGAATGTCTAATTAAAAGCTAGCAATAAAACCACTGCTTCACACATGTAAGGGATCTAAAAGACTTCACTCTGACTTGCTGGTGGCATCCTCCCAAAGGTGGTTTTACAAACATAGCTGTGGGAAGGCTTTACTGCTTTGTAATCCAAGCTATCCCTTCTCTTATGCCAGGACATCCCTGTGCTTGACAAACTCTTTGAATTAATCTTCTTATCTATTTTTTCCTTGCTGATAGGACTTTTGCAAAGTAGGCATCACATGATTTATCCCAACAGCTGTTCTCTCCTGTTTTCAATGGTACACACCTGAGGCCTCTTTGCAGTTCAAAGAGCACTTCCATGCAGAGGTCAGGATGGCTTGTCAGCAGAGCACTGGGTAAGATTGTAAGAGATTATCTCTCTCCAAGAACTGTTACTAATACTGATTTAATTGCTGAAGTAAGGCTAGAAAGCTTAACTGTTAGAAATTATCACTATTCATTTAAAATAAATAGCTGTATTTTTTAGTGATAAATGTTTCTGTGTTCCAGTGTGCAGGATCTTTCATAAAGTGGAGCTCCTATGAATACTGACAATTAACTCACTATTCTTTCAAATCTAGAATTTTTGATTACTACAAAATTTGTCATGAACTTCTTATTCACTTCACTGGGGGGGGGGGGGGTAGGGGGAAAAGGCCAAAATATGTCTCCCTGAGAGACATCAGTGAGCTTATTGCTTTTTAGAAGCAAGCATAGTCACTGTCATAGTTTACACTGTCATATAAATTTGGTATAAGCGTCCACACAATTTTGCTAACAAGACACACTTTAGTAAATTGAGCCATTTCCCTCTCTGTAAGCAGTGTAAACCAGCTCTCCAGTTCATTTATTCTGATATCAGAGCTTTACATTTTGGCTTTGTGAATATAGAATCACTTGCCTGTCATTGCTCTCTAGGTATTATTATTCGGTCACGTTTTTGGTGGAGCCAGGGTAGGAGGGACAGACAACTATGAGTATTTTGTACAGTAACTGTAAAGCTTGACAGCAATAGCCATTATCTTAATTTTCCATTATCCCAATTCCTTTGTCATTTGGAAAGGTAGTCTGATAAATTCAGTAGCTAATGGATGTATTTTAAGACTCTCTTGATATTCCATCAGTGTGTTAAATTGCCTAATCCAGGGAGCTTTTTTCCCCCAGTATGAATTAATGGAACACACACCTCTAAACCATCAGTCACTTTTTTGCTTTTCCCTTAAGGCTGTTGATTTTATTCAGTATTTCATCAGTAACAGTTAATCAGGCACAGACATGTCAGCTGTGGCCACCCAGTTAATATTGAGTGGCACGCAATATTAGTCATGTAACTTACCAGTCAAGGTTTGGACTATTTAGAATAGGTAACTTGGAATCAGTATCACATAGAAGCCAAATATAACCAGAAATAGTGTTCAGTAAAATAACTGATCTGTTTAAAAAAGCCATTCCTTTATACAAAAGAACATTAACCCTCTTAAGCCATTTTTGTCGCATGTGCACAGGAGATGTCAATCCAAGTTTATGCCAACAAATATATTCATTTAACCACCTTATCTCTTAAAAGATACACTACACTTCAATTTGAAGAATGCAGCTGAGTCACCTAAAGCCCATCTGCTATATTCTGTGGGAGGACCCAGAGCAAAGCAGATTATTTGCATGAAGCCAACTTCAGATTAATATTATTCTACATAGTCAGAAAATGCATTGGCTCAAACCACGTGTTTTTTTTTTTTCCCCAGAGACAAATTCTGTAGTGGGTATTTTATTATCAGCAATTTCTTGTTTCTGCACTTAGGACTTGAATTGTACTATTAAAGTCAATGAAAAATTTGTGATTAATTTTAATGAAAAGGATGTAGATACTTTATGGTCTTATTTATAAATGTATATACTTGCAGTCAAAGCAATTTGAATAGAATAGAATTTAGGTCCCAATGATTATATTTAAGAAAAAATATGCAGACTAAGAAACTGACTATTTCAGCTCCAGAGGGGTTTGGCTTTTTTGGTGAACACCTTTTTCTTTCTTATACTTTAAGACCAATTCTACAGCACAGCGTCATTTAGGTAAATTGGAGTCACAGGTAAATGTGCTCATTGCTTGCAATTTAAGGATTGAAATCAGAATTTTTAGAGAGACAATGTTGAAATCGCTACTAAAAATGTGTAATCTTTTCAAATATTTGTAACAGTCTGGATAGGTAGGAGACCACATGTATGTTGGGAAAACCAGCCTTATCCACAGGTACAGTGTATCTCAGCAGATAGTTTGGTTCTGCTTTATCTCAAATAAATGTTATAATGTTTCTATTCCTGTCCATTCCGGGTACTAGCTCATGGTTCTCTTTTGAACCATGATTTTGTTATTAAATAAAAACCAAAACAAAGTCTAGGGTATGCGACAGGCTTGATATGCCAGCACAGAAAGCCAAGCTCTGGCACTTCAATCAAAATATGCTATATTTTGAACTATTTTTATCCAGTCAAATATGGTACAGTGTTTTCTTAAGAAATCCATTCTAAAGGCTAAACGATTAGAAGGTACGAAAAGAAATAAGTAAGAATCTTCCCAGTTTCTGAGTCTTGGCTTCATGTTTTCTCTTTACTTAAAGGGTGGTTCATGAAAATATTTTTAAGTCATTGTTGTGAGTGTGCCTGAACTCATTTCTACACCTGCAAGGCTGTAGAGGAAGCTGGAGTCTTTCTGTAGTTTATGAAATAAGACAGATAAAATTCAGAATGCTTTGAAGAATAATCATTTGATTCTTTACTGGATGTTAAAACCAGCTCTTACTGTTTCTGTATTTAAGTCCAGTGAACAGATCACTGAATTTCTGTATGTTATAATCATCATGACAACTTTCTATGTTTGTGTTTTATTATTATTATTATTTCTGCCATGTTTTTACCTAGATATGGTAAGTTTTTAATTTCATTGATTAATCATTTGAGTAATTATTCACTAGACGTGTATGCTTTCTAGTTTGTTACCCAGTATCTCCTTTCTTAAAATCAGTTTCTTGGTGTCTTTATATATGCTTTTGCAATATTTAGCAAATCCACAGTTAGTTAATTCTTTTCTTTATAATTTACCCAAGAGAGTGTTAGTTTTGCCCTTATTTGTAGCTGGGTGTTACTAGTATTTCATCATTGGTTTTAATTGCAGATTTTAGAAAGATAAGTTTGCCTGAGGCTACAAGGCTACCAATGAAGTGGATTTTGAAATGGAACGTTTTGAAATAATCGGAGTATCATCTGCTGTCCAGATGTAAGTTGACACAGCATGGTCAAGCATTGCACAAAGTACAATCTCAGCAGAGCCTGAACTGCTGCAGGATCTAGTGGAATGAAGATTTTTTTTTTTTTTTTTTAATAGTATAATTGCACAAAGAATAATGTGATCTGAAAACCAGGTTCTGTACCTGGTTTTTACTTGCAGTTTTAGTAAAAAAGTTTACTCTCTTGAATTTCTTATCTGTAAAAAATGAAATGTCATTTGTCAATTAAAATCTTGGATGTCATGCACCATTTCAGAGTGGTTCTGCCTATTTTATTCAAATTCCTTGAAGCAAAAGTGGAAGCTTTTCCACAGACTTTGTCCACTGTTACACCATTCTGTCATTTGAGTTTAGTAGGTACAATGAGCACAGAACTTGACTTTACCGGGAATTTAACTCTTGCAGTCACTGAAATTAATGGTAAGGTGTTCAGTGATTTCAGCATCTCTTTCTTAGGGACTAATTATTTTTCCCCAAGTCATAGAAAGACTGGATTTTTACTAGAATGTGGATTTAAAATCTTTGATTTTCAGCTTTGTTTATCAGACTAGTGGGAATCCTGTCCTTCTCTCACCTGCTTGGCTCTGCTGAAGGATGTCCTTTGCTATTTCCGGTGGCTAGCAGTAATGTTCTGTAGAGGGCATTTCTGAATCATCTATGCTGTACTGTGACCTAGAGCAGAAATAAAATGCTTTGCAGGAAATATTTTAGTGCATGTGTTTACTTAGGAGCACATATTTTTCTGAGATCATTAATGTAGATAGATGCTAATGGGATTTATTGAAACATACTTAGTAATCCAGGTTGGACAGGGCTTGGAGCAACCTGGTCTACTGGAAGGTGACCCTGCCTGTGACAGGGGGTTGGAACTAAGTGAGCTTTAAGATCCCTTCCAATGCTAACCATTCTATGAAACCATTTCCAACTGATTTCAGTGTCACAGTGTTTCTGAAAATTCTAGCAGGCACTATCTTTTTGGAACTTGAGTCCCTCTAAAGATCTAGACTGATGTATCAGTATTTTGCAAGCTGAAGGAATAAGGTCTATGAGCTATTAAATGTCAGGTTGTGTTATCTGCAGAATCTTCAGTGGCTGGGTAGAACATTTTCATACGATAAGCACTAGTGCCCCCTCTTGCTGAGAGATCTCTGTACAAGATAAACTTGCAAGTGTTGATGACTGGCAGCACTAGTCTGTAACAAAATCCCAAGCCTCTGTAGTGCCATTAGTAGCTGAGAAGACTGCATGTCATATTCATCAATAGAAGCGCACTGTTTGTTTTCCTTAAGGGTGTCATTGGTACCTGGTGGACTGAGGTATAGGTCTCTAATTTCTAGTGTATGGACAGATGTCATATCTAGCAAATGCAGGATTCTAAGATTCTATGAGCTAATAGATGATCTAGGTGGTATTAGCACAGAAAATTCTCAAAATTAGATTGCCCTAGAAATACATACAAATTACATAGATGAGGAAAAGGTTTTTAAGAAAAGGGTATTACCATACAGAATACAAATATTTGAACTGTATCTCCAAAATGACAAATACATATGTAAAAAAGAGGTAAAAATAGAGTTCAAATGTCTTCATTAAATAATAGAGCTTTACTGTATTTTTATCAGTAGTTAATTAATAACATTTTCCAGATGGTAGCACTTCTCTGGTACCACATTCTTCTCCAACCTGTACCAGTCTGCTGCATGTTTACTCAGGTTACACTGGATTTCATTAACCTGAAATTTTTTTTTTCCCTTTATTGCACAGATGGGACACAGCAGGTCAGGAGAAGTTCAAGTGCATTGCATCTGTTTACTACCAAGGAGCAGTGGGTGAGAACAATACTACTTTGATCCTGGCTGTGACAAGAGGTTGTAATTTATACAGAAACATATATGCGTATGTGCTCCTTGGGAGGGTGCCTGTAGACACAGTGGGGTGGAATGGATTGTCCTTTATTGGAGAGAAGGGACTAAAAGGTTTGTGAATTGATATGTTGTTGGACCTGCAAGCTCTGAATGTTCTGATGTTCAGTTATAAAAATTTCACTTGTGTCTAGGGGAAAAGAATTTGGGTTTGGGTAAGATTATTGCTGAAGACAGAATATAGAATACTTCTGGCATTCCCTTTGGTAAGAGGTTAATTCCTGCAGAAATTAAGTGGTCCCTTTATAAAATAAAAGATAAAAGGAACAATAGCACTATAGACTGCAGTCAAAGACTAAACAAGGTGGAAGACTGATAATGCAGTCTTACTGGGTGCTGGAGAAGGAAGAGGAAGGAGCAAATGAGTAGTCTTCCACCTACTCTGTGTTGAATCTGCTCTTGCACCCTATATGTAAGCATCCTCTCTGTTTAACACAATGAGTTGGAAAGAATTCTGACACACTTTCTAACTTACTTTTTCTCTGTTCTTGTCATTTACTGCATTTATAATAACAGTGTTTGATCTGGCTGATATCCAGACTTTGGATCACATCAAATAAGTTTCTATATTTTGGCTTAGGCTTTAGAGCTTTTGCAGCAGGTTTAAACACCTTGGATAGTCTGTAGTTGCTAAGAACTAGCTGGATCATGAGTGTATTTTCTAATGAAATAAGAAATGAAGAATGACAGTCACTTGTTTAGATTACATAGCATGGGATTTTTGTAGAGAAAATGTAGAGCATAAATTTAAACTACTTACCCTTGCCTTCCCTTATGGTCAGTGGAGAATAAGATAAATAGTGAAATGGACGAGATAGATATATACATCAGATGCATAATGTCTCAAGAGCCTGTCTTTAGATAAACTGCTAGCCCAGAATTTTCTTTCTTTAGTTTCTGTAGTGATTCTTTTGGGAGATAGGCTGTCAAAAAGAGGAGAGAAAATCAAAACCTCAAAGTATATGTAGGTCTAGCTGAACTCATTGGTTCAGGCACTTGTAATGGCTTGCTTACACAATAATTGTTTTAAGTAAAATTGTTCTGCTTTTAATGCAGGCTGCAAACCCCAACTTGGCTCTATGATCCCTATTGTTGTCACCAGCTCAGAGCCTATATCTTTCTAACACACTGTTGTGACTGCAAGGTAGGTACATATTTCTTTACAACTTGTACTCTGTCTGATTTGAATATGTAACTATTTTCTGAGACTACTGCTGTTGTACTTACCTCATTTGCATATGACTTTGTAAAATAATATATATATTAGTGTCTCTGCTTGGCTGAAAATAATTGAAGCCTGTGATCCTGATTTCCCACACACGCACATACTCTCTTCCCTCTTTGATTTGTGTCGGATGACTCAAGAGGAACTTGATTGCCAGAGTAACAGAAATATAAAAGCTTAGGAGACAAGAATCATGCAGCCTTCACAGGGAGCTGTTTTATAACGGTGAATAGATTATTTCACTCTTCTTTATTCCTGTTCATATCTAATGTGCTATGTTGTTCATATCTTTTCCTCTGCTTCTTGTTCTTTTTATTCCTTATCTAAACCAAAGTTTGCCTTCTCCCCTATATTGATAAATAACCTCTCTGAGTGCTGAAATCATTGTTGAATTTATGCTCTGTGGTGGGCATGTTTGAACTTTTCATTAATGGAAGGAATATATTCAAAGGAGTTGGAATAGCTCCTGGTCTATTTCTGCCTAGAAAAGGCTTTTGATTATCTCACATAGGTTAATCCTCTCACTTTTCTTGTGACCTTGTTATCAGTCACTTTCTCCTGTATTCCTCAGTCCCTCTGACTGATTCCCTCATTACTCTTTTGTATTTCAGACAGTGGCTAGATGATGCACTGAGGGAGAATGAGCCACATTCCAGCTTCATCTTTCTAGTTGGAACAAAAAAAAAAAAAAAAAAAAAAAGATTTGCTGGTAAGTAAATTTAATGCAGATAAGGAAATCAGGTTTCCTGTAGTTCCTCAACTGATTTCCCGTACAAGTTGTACACCTGTACACCGTGTTTTTGAGATAAAGACCTTCAGGGACAAAATAAACAGAAAGAAAGCTCACAGGTAACTAGAATAGCACTTGGAACTAATTTAAGAAGATGCTTTCTAAAAAAAAACCCTAAGAAGTAGTTACTGAAATATCCCTATTTCAGTTCTTTGCATAACATTTTTCAAGCACATACAAACAACTGAAAAGGCAGAAAAAAGCTGGGAGTACCTAATGATCTTGAAGGCTGTTTTTTTTAGGTACAGTGCATTCATTATTCAGGAAGAGGGAAGAATTCTGAGTTGAATACGACATCATTTTCAGAAGAAGGGGTTATAATGCACTCACCCTATACCATTCTGAGTCTTGTGTTTGTCTTCCTGCTTTGTCTTTCTGTAGCTATCAATGCTGAATTCCTAAAGATTTCAAAGCAAACTTCCTTCTTCTGCTGTTTATTTTGATTTTTTTTTTATTCCCCACCCCCAGCTGTCATAGTATCACTTACGCAGTTTGTTTCTTACCCTTCACTGAAATAAATCCCAGAAAACCACGTGTCTGTCTGGATTTTTCTGGTACTTTGTGTTGCTTATGCTGCTTTTTCTGAGTTGCAGTGAAAGCTAAATGTGGCAGACCTCTGAAGGTCTGGCAATCTTAAACAGATCTGAGGTCTTGTCTGAGCTATAATTCCTTAAATGTATGTTAGTTTCTGGTTTTAGAAGACGGTACTTTCCATTGAAAGGGAGACAAGAGCAAAGCAAAGGATTGTGGGTTCTGTGTATTACTTCAGTATGAAGCCAGTATCTTCCCAACAGATTCGCTTCATGTTTCATCTTGATGTCACATTATCCTTCCCAAATCTTCAGAATTCTTTTCAGTTGTGCAGGAGTTCCCCATTGTAAGACAAAGTACAGAATACTGTGCAAAGATGAGTTGTCCATCACAGATGGGCTAGAAATTGAAAGTGAGGAGCAAGATACTAATATGGTTGATCGCAGAGAACAAATGAGGGGGGAAACAGAACTAAAAATAAAGTTCAAGAAAGCAAAATCTATTGAAGGGGCAAGAAATTTTAGTCTTCAGAAGAGATAAAAAGTGCAAAAAATAAAAATGGGGGAAGGCCATTGCATTACAATGGAGTAAAAATAGATGGAGTAAAAAAAAGGATCTAAGATAGAGACAAGAAAGATTAAACCCAAAGAACTGTTGTGATTAGCTCGTCCTGAATTTTTTCTGCTGGGAATGTTGGTGTCACAAGAATTTAAAGACCAGTAGCTTGGCTGTCATCTTTATAGCTCCCTACCACGCTATATAGTTAGATCCAATGGTCACACTTGGTAACTGTTGTGTGGGAGGTGAATGCAGACTTGCATTTTAAAAGCGATACCATGTCTGACTACACAAGTTATAGGGCAAGGCCAGTAAGGCCCCACAACAGTAACCATGCTGCCTTGCAGAATGCCCAGCAGGCTTTAGAGGCTTTGCCAGAGCTCAGTATGGAGCAGTGATCTGCTCATAAATATGCTTGTTATGCTGGTTCATGTATTGATGTGCAGTTTTAATACCACATAATTTCTGCCCTGTTTTCTAGGGGAGATTGTCAAAGAATTCCTTTCCCAAGTTTCTACCTTGGCCTTTGAACAGTCCATGATAACGTAGCTGGAGAAAATTTCTGGGCACATCGCCCAAATTGGGTCAGGAAACCTCATCAGTATGTTGAGTTTTGCTTTTTGTGTGTATTTCCCTCATGTACAGTCTGAAAGATTGGGAAGGTTTTTCAAGCATTACAGCCTGTTTCAGACACCTCAAGCATATTCATGTCATTATCTACACGAGTTTTAGCAGATAGGCGTGACTGGGGCTGCATTCAGCTTTTGTTACCCTTTATAATGGATGGTATAATTTCTTGTGAATTAATTGTATAAATTCTCTGTTTCTACAGAAGTGGAAAAAACCATGATGGAAATCCCAGAACACAACTATCAAGTAAGCCCGAGCTGTTGCTGACTGTCAAGTGTTTCTGCAAGCACCATGCAGTCTAGCATACTGTTCCAGAGTTTGAGAATTCCAGGTTGAGAGAAACACAACACAATAAAGAATCATAACTAGTTTATTAATACAGGGGAAAATATAGAGGTAACAAAAGATACAGTAAAGGATATCTCTGATGTTTGGTTATCTTACCAACCCCAAGGACCATGTAATGACGATCAGGAAACCAGCTCCGAGAAACATCATCACAGTGCTAGGTGGCAGGCTTCAACCTTAGCGGGCATCCCCACGGTGCCAACATTGACCTGGGTGGTATGAGGTTCTGCCCCCTTGCATTGCCTGAGGCTTGGGCTTTTATATTAGCAAAAATGCACACTCATTCCAACATAGGGGGCCAGCCTACATCAGAAGAAGCGGCCAGCTATATCTAGAAAGGTCTCCAAGGGTCAGGAGTTTTCCAGGGCTGAGCCAAAGTGGGGCCTTCTGGGGAGGAGCTACCACGGACAAACAGTACTTTTCTATTTTTGTCTGTTCCACCACGGACCATTATCTAGTGTCACTGACACACATACCTACAACACCTGCAACAAGGAAAGTTCTCAAAGCAGTAACAGAAAGTTTTATTTTTGGAAATGAAGGAGGAAAACTCCAAACTTTCTTTCTGAGAGTTTCTTTGCTGCTACAGGCTCACTTGTGCAGGATGGTGCAGTCTTACGTAAACCTTTCTCACTGAGTGGAAACGAAACGTCCTTGTCTTAATGTAAGAAGACGTTGCCAGTGCCATGTAGCTCACCTGTCTGCCAGAAACACTTGTAGTGAAAAATACATAATTTTAGTGCATTATTCTTTGATAATTCTCTACAACTTTTAGATAGTGAGGTTGTATTGTCAAGGGAGCAGAAAACAAATGGCAGTTCAGAATAAAGGGTGCTAGCTATATGGTTTTGTCTTTCAAGATCATAGTATAAAATAACTCTGACTTGCTTTTATGCATTTCAAATATTCTACAACTGTTCCAAAATAAATCTGTTTTAATTACAGGTGTGGAAGTACACAAATGCAGCAGCATAATTTTTGCTGTGGTTTCTCCATCCAGGAAAAATCTGTATTATTTTTCATTTTCCACTTGAGATTCAGAGCCCAGTGTTTAAATATTTCCAAGCCTCAGAGAAGCCCAGATAGAAACTTTGTTGTTTTATCCAAGCTATCTAATATATTGAAAATGTTACCAGATAAGAATGCTATTCTTTTCCACTCTCGAATAAGAGAGAATTATAACATAGGTGCATAGCATGGAAGACATGAAATCCAGTTTTTCTATCTTCAGAAGAAGATGCAGACTCCTTCTCTGGATTGATCTTCATTAATATTATCTATGCTGCAGTTCTATTGTGTTGCTAAGAGTAATGACTTTCATTTTGTTCTAACTGTAACTTTTGTTTCTAGTAATGTAACATGATTCTGGAACCATACATGGTGTCTGTCATGGACTTGTTCATCCCTGTCTGAGGTAGGAACTCTTAAGCTGGTAAGGTTAGTTTTGATACTGCTGCTGAATTCCTAGTCACTCTTTCTGTTTTTACTGGACAAGATAATTTGATCACTACATGCTGGAAGCAATTTGCTCCACTGCTCAATAAAAGCAGCTATGTAGAGAAATGGTTTTGCCATTTTGTGAAAAGACTTAGAGGTGTGTGTGGGTTTAGAGGGATGGGAAAAGATGGAGTTCTCTAAAGTAGGCACATGCTTGTTAAGCCATAAGGCACTTGCTTTTTGAAGATGTCGTTACTGACTGCTTCTGGTACAGCCTGCTGTCTGGACATGTTGTTGTGAATTAGTGTGCTGGCTGGATCAAAAACCACTGCACTGGTTTTGCCTTTTTAAATATCCTTTGACATAATCTTGTGCAATTAGTATTTAGAAGTTACAGGCATTGTTTAATGAAGAAAGATTAGCTCTGGGTATCACTGAATTTCATCGAAGTAAAGCAGCTTTAATAATGCTCTTCTGCTCTTTGGGACACAATGACTGATGCCAAAAGATATTTCTGCTTTAAAAGTCATCCCTGCTGACAGATGACATTGCCAGAAATATAAATGACAAATAATGTTGTCAGTATTTGTGAAATTGTATTAGTATGATTGATTATGATAACTAGGTTTAAGATTCAGAAGTACAAAAGAAGTGGAAGGGAGATAGATACACTTGTCTTAATTTCCCTCTTATTTTTGCAGCAGCTCACTGAATTTGAATATTCAGTTCTGGGTATCTATTCAGTGATATTTTTATAATATGGATAAGATACTGTAAATCTTTATCTTGCTCTAAACCAGACACATTTGTGGTCCTTAAATTACTGTCAGCACTCATTTGAAAGAATTACCAAAGAAATCAAAGTGAGACAACAGAAAGACTGTTTCTCTAGAAGCTGCTTATAACTCCATACCTCTAAGATTCAAATCCAGTACTATATGCTCTGCTGGCATAAAAACACTGGAAAGAAAGAAGAAAACTTAGGGACAGTTACATTTTCTTAAGACAGTCATTACAGAAATAACAGTACCTGGGAAACTGATGATGACAGGACCTTTCAGATTTGAGCTGCTGAGAAAATCAAGACATTTATTAATAAATCTATGCATCAAACAGAAAATATTGTAAATTCTCTGCTGGTTTCCCCCTCCCCCAGTTGTTTGATGAGAAATAGGAAAAGTAGAGAACAGGAGACTTAAAACTTTTTATTGCTTTTATTTTCTTATGATGTAAGTTAGAGGAGCTTTATGGAACATCACAGAATTGTGAGGCTTGGAAGGGGCCTGTGGAGATGAATAGAGATCTAGGAACTCTGTGTCTCTTTTTATTCACTTTGGCAATTGTGCCAGTTCTGTTGGCAAAGACAGAAATGTAGCATTTGGTGGAGAAAATGAGTATGTGAGTATGTATGGAGCTATTTATCCGAATGTGTAATGTTTTGACCTTATGATGATCTATGTCTTTGTTCATCTCCCAAATCTGTTTCACAAGGATAATGAATATACACTCTACTTGTACCACGTGTTACACTGAGTGGGCAGCATAGCCTTCATGTTGACTGAGTTTGAATGAGAGTAGAACAGCTGGTTCACTGTGCTGCAGCAAATCTTGTCCAGGCTAGGTGCTAGGTTTCTGTGCAGATGTGTTAGTGTTTACAGCTACAAAATGACTCAGTATCAAGTATAAGAAACAATAGGGATTCCATTTTTAGTTCCCCCAAAAATCTCTCTCGTTTTGTTGCTGAGCTCAATTTATTATACATAATCAGAGATGCAGTCCCTTCAACAATATAATTGTATTGCTCAGAAAATCAGCTGGCACAGTTTTTTTCTAGCGATTCATTACACTGCTTGGTGTCATTACCGGTTTGTGCCTTCTGGAGCTCCAAAAACTTCACATACAAATGCAGTACTCTGTCAGTCATTAACCATCACTTAACAATGGTCTGACTCCATTTATTCTGTGATGGATGCTTTGAGACTTTTAGATTGTGTTTTTTTGGTTTGGGGGTTTTGTTGTTGGTTGGTTGGTTGGTTTTGGTGTGTGTTTTGTAGCCTCACTGAGACTTCCCCTGCAAAGAACTCAGTATTAATAGATGATCATCTAAAATGAAATCTTGGATCATGTTGTGAATGATGAATTGCTTAAGAAAGTACAAAGGAAACTAACTTTGGAAAAATAAACATAAACTGTCAAGTTCTTAGATGTTTCTATCTAGTCTATGTTTTATGTATGCATGTTAATCCATTCTATCAGCAATTTAATTGGCTTTGAGGATGCCTTAATATTGTGGGAAACAATGCTGGAACAACTGTATTAACTCTAAACACAAGTAGGCTAAACTGTGTTTTTTGTACTAGTTGAAGACCTCACAGTGGTTGTGTCAAAGTTGTAGTGCCAGCTTCCTTTTGTGAAAGTTGCAGGTGAGGAATTGGAGAAGTGAAATTTGGAGGCAGTCTGAAGCAATGCTACCGAGCAATTGTAGTAATCAGTTTCCCAAAAGAAGTACTAATGTGCTGTTTCTTGAACAATAAGTAGAAGCTAATGTGTTACTGAATTCCTGTTGAAGTAAGTATGCAGATATCTGAGCAAAACAACTGGTAATGGATCAAAAGCCATTTAAGAAAGTTACCTGATGGGCAAAATTAATTTCTTATTACAAAGGCCTTTTTAATGATGTTGTTTCTGCCTTTTGAGTGATTATTCAACCATTATATTAATATTAATATTAATATTAATATTTTTTGTTCTTACAGGTCATTTGATTCACATCTTTCTTAATCCTGTTTGTTTCCAGTTCAGGCTCATCCTGTTGTGGTATGACTGGAATCCATTCCTCATTAATAAATCTGTCCCCCTGTGTCTTTTTGGGTTTTCATTAATTAGAGGTTGGTCTGTGGAGTACAATATAATGCACTGGTGAATGAATGCTATGTATTGCATCCTCTGAGTATATGAGTTAGAATGAAGTCTTTGGCAAGTTGAAGTTATAGCAGAATCTGCATTTGGTAGTAGAGATGGTTGCTCAGTTTCTCATGTTTTTGGCCAGCAGTTTGTTCTGGCAGCAAGAGATTGCCAGTCTCTGAATTCTAAGAAGGAGAGTTCCAATTTCTCTAGGTTTATAGAATGTTATAGGTCAGATTGGACATCCCAAGACTTACCGGCCTTATCAAACTCTACCACTTTGTGCTCCAAAAATGTGGTTTCTCAATTTCAGCCACAGATTAATCAGAAATTATGTTTTGTTTTTCTTTAAAAAGACTCATCTTATGTTCTACCTTTTGGTTTTGTTTGGTTGGTTGATTTTGGTTTATTACTTACAAAATCTCTGTTTCTCTCGTGTGGGAACATGCTGAAGAAAGTTTGTAAGTGACAGCTCAAGAGATTTTAAGACTCAGCCGATTGGCTCCTCTTACCCACAAGAGGGAGCTCGATAGTCACTGTAGTACTACTTGCGATTCGACTGAGAAGGGCTTTGCAGTCTCTTGAAGGCCGGCAGAGGGTATGTGCTGGGCACTCTTCCTTGTAGCTTAGGCTCCTCATCACAGGATTCTCAGTCTCAAACCACAGATGTGTGTTTACTACTATAGTCTTAATGAAATTTTGTCTCCTATTAAAATAACACTCTGTTGAATGCATAAAGCATTCAACAGAAAATCAGTGATCCCTTTGATTCCAACTGAAATTTCTGATGTTGCAGTATCTCAGCAGATAAAGAGGGTACAGCTGTTTAATGTTCAAACTGGCACTAAGGCAAACAAATAGCAGACAATATCCATGGTGAAAAGCCAATTAATTTTATTTCTGTGAAAAACTAAGTTTTCTTGAAAGATTTATAGAGGTTTTTACTAAACATACAGATTTTATTATGAATTAGATTATAATCTCTTTTCCATATAGGTCAGCCAATGCCTCTTATGTGTTAAAAGCTGAGGAATCATGTGCAGGAAAAGAGATTAAAACCAGAAAATAGAATCCAAGAGGGATGAACCCAAGACTGGATATATGATGAGCCATTTGTGATAGGTCTGAAAACACCCAGAAATATTTTGTTTGGCATATAAAAAAGCATGAAGAGAAAAACTGATTGATGGGTTCTGAAACATTACATGTCTCAAAGGTAAGACAACTGCTCATGTGGGCTTCTGCTTTTCATTCTTATGGGATTTTATTTATTCTTGCTGGGGCTATGTCCCACCTTCCTTTTTAGTAACACATTCCAGAAAAGATATACTTCACCATAGACATGAAAGAAGCAAGTTTATGGGGATATGAGGTGTATATAGCGCACTGTCCACTATCATCCAAATAGGGAGATGGAACTTCAGGTGTAATTATTACCACTTTTTCAGAGGTTGAATTAGTACATGAAAAGGATGAAGGGCTGTACTGTCATTTCAGGAGAGATACTCAGCAGGCAGACTTGTTTAAATCATCTGCCACCCTTCGGCCAGAGCTGAGGTGTAGGACTCACACCTCATTTGTGGGACAAATTGTTTGGGCTAGGATAATATACTGGACAAAAAGTGAGAAAATGCGTGAAAAAAAGGCACAAACCATCCTGTATTGTTAATATCATGGTGATTTTGGAGTACCAGTTGCCCATCTCAGACATCCAGCTTGTCATTTATTGGCAAGGAAGAAAGGACTGAAGGAATGACAAGCCTGCTACTAAACAGGACTTACATTAGTGGGGGAAACGTGACCTTTGAAGGTGAGCTGCATCAGTGCCTGGGGGAGAGTGTTGCTGTGAACACAAGACAGAGTAGAAACGTGCTGGTGTTACACATAATATATGGATGTGTGGACAAGAATGGATACACCCCTGTGCACACATCCCTGTGTGCATGCTGTGTTCTTGCCCAGCCTTAGGTATAGCTATGTGGGGATGCTCGAGCCCGCGGCCGCAGGCACAGGGACAACATGTACAGCTCTCTGCCTTTGTCTCCCCGGCATCCGTGGGGAAGGGCGCAGGGCCGGGCCCCGCAATTCAGGGGGGTCCCGAGGGCACGGCCTCCTGCTCCCGGGCCGGGCTGCCCCTTTAAGAGGCCCCAGCTCCGTGTCAGCCGCTGCGCCGGGCTCTTCCCTCTCCTCCCCTTCCGCAGCGCTGCGATTCGGGGCGCCGCCGATAGAGCTGGGCCGCGCAATGGGCAGCCGCGGGCAGCCGCTGTCGTCCCGTCAGCAGCCGAGCCGAGAGGGTTCTCGGGGGGCCGCGGGGCGCCCGGGCACAGAGGGGTAGCGGCGGAGTTGGCCGCGGGACGCGCCGCCGGCTCGGCGCTCAGCGCGGGGGTTCCGGAGAGCGTGTGCGCCCGGAGCACAGCACAATAGCCGGGAGGAGGAGACAGGGAAAGGGGCAGGGGGAAAGGAGGAGAGAAAGAGAAAGCACAACACGGGGGCTGGCGAGGGGAGGACGGAGCAGAGGACTCCCCAGCGTGGCTGCGCTGAGCACCGCGCCCGGACGGCAGCGGCAGGAGGTGGGTGGGTGGCTGGGGGGAAGATATTTACCTTCCTTCCCCCGCCCTGAGCCTGCTCCTTTGTCCACCCACTTTGAAGTGCTTCTGGGATCGCCGGGGTGGGAGCATTGTTGTACGTTAGCAAAGGATCAGGCATGCCGGGGAGAGAGTAGCGAGTATACGGAGGGGCACGGGCCGGCAAAAGCTGCAAGGAGACGGGGAGGAGAGACTGCTGCGAGGATTGCTGTTTGCCTCCCGGTTTCCCTGCATGGACCGTGAAAGAGACGCGTTGAGTTGACCCTGCCGGAGCTGTTTCTGCCTCTACATGTGAGATCCGGTTGGTTTCTTCTCTCCAGTTATCTCTCTCTAGCCTCCTTCCCGTGTTCTCCACATACTCCTGTATGCAAAATGGTGGACCCTGTGGGGTTTGTGGAGGCTTGGAAAGCACAATTTGCAGACTCTGAGCCTCCTAAAATGGAGCTGAAATCTGTGGGAGACATTGAACAGGAGCTGGAGATGTGCAAAGCATCTATCCGGAGACTGGAGATGGAGGTCAACAAGGAGAGGTTCCGCATGATTTACCTGCAGACTCTTTTGGCAAAGGAGAAAAAAAGCTATGATAGACAGCGATGGGGTTTTAAACGTGTTTCTCAGTTGCCTGAAGGGGGTGCAGAGCAGCAGATCCAAGACCTGCAACACCAGTCTGCTGACCAAGATGAATATGAAAAAAGCAAGTCACACCACGGGGAGGAAAAGTTCAAACCGAGGATACCCTCTCTGCGGAAGTTGTCTACCCAGAGTGATGGGTCAGACCTGTCGCCTTTGGACAGCCCCCATCATGCAGAGGGAGAGCAGGACAGGTGTAAGTACTATGGTGAAGAGAAACTGAAGAGAGTTGTAGAAGATATGGAGAATCGCTGTGATACAGATGGCTCTCCTTCAAAACACAGATCGGCTTCCACTCGCAGGCTAGTGGGATCTGCTGAGAAGGAGGCATCATTTGAACCTATCTCTAAGGAGAGAGGGAACAGCACCAGTGTGGCAGCCCTAAGGTCCAATTTTGAGAGGATTAAAAAGGTCAATTCGCATTCTTCTGGAGATAACAAGGATGTTGTTGAAAAGCCCTTTTACGTGAACATGGAGTATCATCATGAGAAGGGTCTAGTAAAGGTCAACGATAAAGATGTCTCTGATAAAATAAGCTCCCTTGGTAGCCAAGCCATGCAAATGGAACGCAAAAAGTCTTTGCACTCCCTCCCTTCTAACATGGTACCCAGCTTCACCGAGTTCCAGAGGCCTGCTTATAGGGGAAGGTCCTCGGAGAGCAGCTTTGGTTATGATGGAGAATATGAGGATGCTGAACTGAACCCCAGGTTTCTCAAAGATAACTTGATTAATGCCAATGGCAGCAACCGCTCACCTTGGCAGCCCATGGACTTTCAGCCCTATCAAAGTATCTATGTTGGTGGAATGATGGGGGAAGGAGAAGGAAAAGGTCCTATTCTGCGAAATCAGGGCACAACTGATCAGGAAAAACATCTCACGTGGCCCAGGAGATCTTATTCCCCCCGGAGTTTTGAAGATATTGGAGGAGGATATACTCCAGATTGTAGCTCTAATGAGAACCTCACCTCCAGTGAGGAAGACTTCTCCTCAGGGCAGTCCAGCCATGTCTCCCCCAGCCCCACCACTTATCGCATGTATCGGGACAAAAGCCGTTCCCCCTCGCAAAACTCTCAGCAGTCCTTTGACAGTAGCAGTCCACCAACCCCCCAGTCTCAGAAACGGCACAGGCAGCAGCAGGTCATTGTGTCTGAGGCTACTATTGTGGGCGTACGAAAAACAGGACAGATCTGGCCAAGTGATGGAGATTTGCCTTCTGGGAGATGTCACCAGGACAGCTGCTTCCATGGGGATACAGGTGGGTACCAGCTTTTTGTTTAGTCTTATAAATGGTTTGAAATGGAGTGGAAAATAGCATGGTGGAGGTGAATGGGAGAGGTTTTTTAAGTGACCCTTGGTGAATTGCTCTAAGGGGGCAACTGTTTAATGTGAGAAGTTTGTGTTGTGGTTGTCCTATTTTGGGAAGGTCCTGCAGAAGCACCCATCAGACTGCAGGAATGCAGATTGGATTCCCAGAAGGGTTGATTCAGGCTTCTTTGAGAGTATCAGTGGAGTCCCATGTTAATCAGTTCTTTCAAGTTTCACTGTGAACACTGAGGTAAAAAGGGCCCAGAACTGTGCAACATTCACTACCAGGTTGTTCCCTTCCTTGTATCCTTGCACTGAGTAGTTAAACTATCTCAGAGGTGACAGTGTGCCAACATGCTACAACCTGAGGGTTTTGCTGGAGCTTTACCAATAATGCTTCTGTTCCCACAATCATGTTTTTTCCTGTCTGTATTAATTGGAATGCTCATTTCTCCCTCTGTCTCATGTCATCCTTCAATTAGAGCTGATTGGAGGTAATGATTGCGCAACCCTGTTCTTGAAGCTTTCTGCTGTCACTAAGTGAAGGAAGAACTTGGAATATCAGGAGGCCCTGGGGGAGAGCTGTTAATTTAATTTCAACAGAGTCAAAATCTTTCTTTGAAGAAGAATGGGCAGTGTTTGAACCCATGAGCTGTGCAGGTGTGTCTGGAGAATCACAGTGGTTTATAGTTGGTGGAAGAGGCAAACAGTGAACTCTGTTGATTCAGATACATTCGGTAAATCTATGTGGTCATCCAGATTTATTTAGCAAGGCACATAATGTAAATAGGATCTTGTGCTAACACCAGAATTCTCCAGTGCAGTGGAAAACACTGTGTGTCCAATGCAATGAAAACCAGTCAAATCCAGGAAAAAAAAATAAAAGCATGATTGTTTTGATGGACTTCTAGAAGTGAGTTTTCTGTCTCGTAGATAGATAGATTCTTTCTTTGTCCCTTTGAATCTGTCATTTTAGTAAGGGGTTAACGTGATTTGTCAGTGTGACTGAATTCCTGAATAATAGGTGAATTGGGAGGTCTATTAGAGATCCCGCTTTCTCAGGCTGTGTGAGTCTGGTCTGTTAGCTCTCAGAAGAGGACTTTGCTGGAAGGAGATGCCTGGTTTTACTTTCCCTGTTTGTTGTTGTTTTTTTTTGTGGTTTGTTTGTTTGTTTTTTTCCAGCAATACTTTTGAGAGCAATGATGGAGACCTCTTCCCTGCCCCCCCCTCCATCCTTACATCCCATTGTATGTTTGGAAGGCTGTACAGTTATAGTGGATGCTCACTGTACATGAAACCTCAGCAGCCTGTCTTCACAATGACTTCTTCCTAATCAGATTGTATATACATAGTTGTTTTCTGTCTGGGACTGCTGCATTCCTGTTTGGTTCTGTGCATATATCTTGTATCTTATGGGCAGTACTTGTGATGCAGGGGAGCGGCTGGATCTTGTGCTGGTTTAAACTGAGCTGCAGCCATCTGTCTCTTCTCTTGTTTACAGATGCTCTTTAGATGACTGGGAAGCCTCCTGGCAGCTGCAATTTTTGCAGAAGGAAACAAAGGGGCAAAAATAACGAAGGTCGATAAGCTTTGAGTATAAATTCAGCTTTCAGAAAGGCAATAGGTGATTTTTATTTTAAATAATATAGGTGTGATGCAGCCATAAAAAAAAAAGGCTGCTGAAAAGTCAGAACAGTTAGAATTCCTGGTTGCATTGGAAAGCTTTGTGTCTTGTTCCTAAGGATGACCACACAATTGCAGGCAGGGACAGAATGTAATTGATCCACCTTCTGCTTTCCTCAGCATAGTGGGTAAGATGGCAAGCTTAGCAGGAACTTTCACCAGATGGCTAATCATTACTGTCTTGCACATTAGCTGGTGGCAACTTTTTGCTTAACTAAAAAGGCTTACGCTTTCAGGACTGTGTTTCTGATTAATTCCTACTGAGCATCATATGACATGAATTTTCTTTCTTTCCTGATTAGGAAAAATTTTGATTTGAAACTAGTTGGTAGAATCACTTTTTCATAAAACAAGCAAAAGGCACAAGAGTTCACTGTGTGATTAACTCCTGGATACCATTCCCAACTCACATGGTCTGATGCGGGCTGTTCTCTGTCACCATGTGCTATGAAAGCAGGTCCCGGATCCAGACAGCTTTTCCTGCCCCTGTGGTTCAGTTAGGGTCTTGCCAGGCTTCCCTCAAGTTTTGCTTGAGCAGAGAGTGCAGGTTTGAATCACAGCAGGTTCTGGCCAGCCTTAATGTTAGTTAGCTGCAAGTGGGGCTTGTTCAATAGTATTGGTCTTCTTTGTGCATTCAGATTTTTATATGTTGCTGGCTTTGCTTTTCATGACTGGCCACAATAACACTGAGTGTGGTGTGGATGGGTGCAATATGAATTTGTCTGGATCTGTCGTCCCAATGCAGCTTGATGTTGGCCAGTGGACACAGGCTGTTTAGTCCAAATTCTTTCCTGAGTTCACAGGCAAGTGATAATTTCCTACTTCCATGTTACCAAAAAGGGTTAGAGGAAGTCACCTAATACAAGTGAGTGGGATCAGGCCAAAAATGTGAACCTGGGTTCGTGGAGATGGGTTATCAAAAACCTTACATCAGAGTGAGGTAGCAGGCATTCAGTTTCTTCCAAGGAGCAGAATGAGAGCTTCAGGGCTAAGGTCTGGTGATAACTATTAAATGTACTTAATGAAGCCCAGTTAAAGATACCTGTTAGGATTAATTATGTATCACTAATTTCCTGTAGTGAGAATAATAATTAATAAAGATCATGTCTGAACTCTGCATGAAGCTTGACTATTTTTACAATGGCTGTGGAGGAAGAACAAGATTTAGTTAGATTTCTGTCAACACTCTGTTCAACACTGGTTGCAGAGACAGACGCTAGAGAAGCCACCTCTTGTGCATTTCTGCTTGTAATCAAGAGGAGAGTTGCACAGTGCTGTTATGCAGTGATGAGGCCTCACAATGGCGTCAGTTTTTAAACTGGTAACTGTTAGTTGATTTGCTCCTTGGAGTTGTGCATGGCCTTGTAGCTTGCTTCATAAAATCAGGGCATGCTCTCTTAACAGCTTTGTGTGAAACCAGTTTATCTATCTGCCTAATAGCATGGAAGCTCTATCAGGAGTCCACCTAGATCATGTTTACCTGCAAAGCTGCTTCCTTAAAGGTGCCCCAGTAGTCACTTCTGTTCATTTGAGAGGACTTGATAGTGCTTTCCAGAGTTCTTTCAGGCTCTCCCTCTAGAAAGCTACCAAAAAACACTGTGCTTAAAATAAGGTCAGTTTGGGATATGTGTCATTTAATTCCATAAGTTTTACTTATTTTAGCCTCTACTAAATGTGGGAGTGCTCCCTTTTTGAAAAGCATGATGTGTTCTCTATGTTATTGGTGAGTTTGATGTAGACAGAGGAAGGAGTACTGGAATTTATCTCTGCATGTGAACTGCAAAACTCAAATTGCTGTTACCTCAGCTGACCAGAATGCCATTTTAAAGTGCAGACTTACTTAGAGCTGTAGATTCTTCAGTTTCAGTGTGGCTTAAATGTTTGACCAGATAGGCAAGCAGCTGAATTTCCTGCCTTTAAGGTAATCCTTGACAGAAATGAATTTAAAGCCCAAGAAATCATGCAGTACATCATCATGTAAGGACATTGTTCTGTCCCAGTTTCTGCAAGGGTCTGTTCCTGAGTTGCTTGCATGTTCTGAGATCTTGGACAAGTTTCTTCATTCTGTACTACTTTAACCCACTGTTGTATCCTGTGGATTTTACAAGATGCAGTTTGAAAAGCGCTTTGCAATGTTTCACTGGTACAAAGATAATTCATGAGGCGCTATGCTAGTCCTGTTGCTGCTTTTTAGAAATACAACTTTCCTTTGAGCAACTGAGGCAGACTTCAGTCCACTGTGTAGTGAATCTTCCTTCTGAGGATCTGAAATGTAGGGATTTTCCTCATGTGCAGCTCATTTGTTAATTTAAGGACTGCTGGCCACAGGTCCTGCCTTACACTGTTTGTGCATTACACTGGGGCAAGAATTTTCTCTGATGTTTGTTCATTTTGCTATTACTTCTTAAACATGTTAATCCTTTGCTGTGATGATCAGTGGATTTCCTGGGAGCACTGATGACAAGATGCTGTTTAAGTGCCACCCCCCTTGCTTTCCAGAGATTTAGCGTCTTTGAGATTATCAAGCTGCTTGTGCTGCCACTCACCTCTTAATCTGGGGGAGTTAAGAGCTCACCCTCTTTCTCTGCCACATTTCTCTTTCCCTCCACCTGAATTTAGTTGAATCTGTGGAGCTTCTGCTCTATGGCCTCAGTGACTATAGTGGACTCTGCAGACCTGTTTGTTTTGTGCCTTCTTCCACAAACAGTTGCTGACTTTTACCTCAGGCCCACCATAAGTAATGGTATGCAGAGGGTTTTTAGTTTTGCTTTCCTTGGGTTCACCCTAGGTTATGGAGTTTCTGCACCCCAACATTCAGGTGCTTCTGCAATCACAAAGCACCTGCCTTTGAAAAGAGAGGGTAAATCAACTTGTACTAGTTGTCTGAAGCTGGCAAGTCCTGGAGAGTGCTGATGTCACCTGCTCTGTGTAAAGCTCATTTTCAATGTCCGCAATAGAGATCAAAGTGGGTCTGTCTTTCCTATGGAATAAGTAGACAGAGAGCTATGAATTCTGCAAGTAATGGGCTAGATAGAAAGCTGCTTGTCATCCCTTCAAGATTACCAACAGTCTAAAGAGGTCTGTCTGGCACTAGAGATGAGCCCACTCTGTGCAGCTCCATTGCTGTGTGAGGGCCTACCAGGCAGAAGTGATCTGTGGCTGGGCAGGTGAAATGTAATGCCAGTGCACACTTAAGGTTTGGGGGTCTTGTAGGAACTCAAGACTAGGATGAAACTGCAACAGAGCCATATAGATATCCATACAGCA